GTGCTGCGGCTCTGCCTGTCTCCATGTCTGCTCCTCCCACTTTTCATATTCTTGTCTCCAATCTTATTTAAAAGTCAGAATCCCACGACTCAGAGAAGCAAAGTTAACCGTGTGTCAAGAAAGCGCATGGAAAATAGGCAATGAGCCGGGATTGAACAAAGATCTGTGAGTCTCTGGAGTCTCATGGTTTCCACTACATTAGGGCTCCGGGGAGTCACATTCATGAAGAAGCATCCCCAGTGGGGAAATACCCATGCACTCTGGCTCCTGTGCTGGACACGCATATGTACACACGCGCGTGCGCACACGACATCCTCCCCTCAACACTCTCTGGGTTTCTGCTCGCTCCTCTTCTGACTCTCCTCTGACATTTTCCAAAGACTAGAAGCAGTAGTTACATGATCCCAGCCATCTGGTCATCCCAGCATACCCTAAGTATTTTACATCTAGACTATATACAGCCTCTTTCCCAAAAAGCACTCTGCAGATTAAAGAATGTCATTAAGATGGAGATTTGCACGTGGTGGCCACAGATGAGGTCACGGAGATCGAGATCCCCACCGTGAATTTCCTGGTGAAGACGTGAGGCATTTCCTCCCTATCACATCAGCTAGCTTTTACTTTGTATCAAGTTCCCAAAACCTATTGGTTTATAACAGCAACCATTGTGTTTGCTTTGTGAAGTCCTCCTAGTCTGGGCAGACTCTCTGGATAACAGTCTACTATGGCTTGGGCAGAGCTGGATGGTCCGGGATGACCTCACTCATGTGTGTGTGTAATGATTGACAGGCTGGTTGTTTGAAGAAAGCCTCAGCTTGGAGTGCTTGCCCACACTCCACATGGTCCCCCACCCTCCAGTAGAGGAGCTTAGGCATCCTCATATGGTGGTCTCCGTGTTCCAGAAGTAGCAAAGGAAGACAAGCCCTCAGGCATATGTACACTTCAAGCTTCTGGTATTGTTCCATAGGCCAAACTGAGAGTAGGTGTAGGAGGAAACTATGGAAGCCCATAGATGTAGAAAAGCATAAACAACCAGAGGCCATTACTATAACATATCCACCATGCAATAAGCCTAAGATTTAACTCAGCAAAAAATAAAAATAAATAAATAAATAAAAACGTTCTGCCTGATGCCTACCTGGAGACAAGGCTGAACCACATTGTGGTTAAACCCACATGAAAAGAGATGGCAAATCGAACCATAGCTGACTAGCTCTTGCCAGTCACTGAGGTGGTAATCCCTGGGAACTAGAGGCAGGAAGTCACTGAAAGGCCAGACGTGGCCCAGCAGCAGAAGAGAGGTGCTCAATCTCCTGTGGGCAAACAGAGCAACCAGGAGGCAGGTGTGGCCTCTGAGGTGACAATGCAAGAGACCCCACCTAGACTCAGAAATCTGGGTGGGTGATTTCCCACAGTGACTCCCAGGTAAGACTTGAGCCATCGCTGCAGAAGGAGGGATGTAGACAGGAACGCGCAAATATTGAGTGTTCACACACCCAGAGGGACCACAAGAGCTGAGAAACTTCCACTCTAAATTTTATTTCCCAGGAGGAAGGAAGCAAGAGCTGAGGACTCAAGACAAAGTGGTCACACCCAGTCTCTGGAATATCTTTGCTATGGTGGGGACTGTACTCAGCCTGAAATTTAGTCCTCTGAGGTAATTAGTCCACTTTTCTAGATGAGGAAATGGCCTTAGAGAGGATGAATAGTTGACTGAAGTCCTGGACCTTGCCCTTTCTCTGCCTCTGTCTGCCTGTAGGGTCCCCAAATATATAGCAGCAAGGGACAGCCAGGCCTATAGGTCCATCCTAGGGGTAGAACTTAGAAAGGCCCCAAAGGCCAGTTCCCAGGCAGCAACTCTAGGAGATATTCACACAAAGGAGAATGAGAATGACCAAAGGTGGACATTCAAAAAGAAGGTGGCAGAGGAAACCATGAAGAAAAGCCAACATACTTGTTTGTGGTGGCGATGCAGAGACACCAAAAGGGTTAAATTTGCTCTGAGCCTTTTCCCTAGTCTTCTCTCTCCCCATTCTTCACATTAAAAGGATCACTGTGTCAGGAGGTCATTGATGGCATTTGAAGAAGCTGCTGCCCCTTGAAGAGCGTGAGAAGCTGAGCTGGGCATGTCCAGGGTGAACTCAATCTGTGTTGATCAGCAGATTGTGGCCAGAGTCGGTGGTGTGTGGGAAGGACACTGTAACCCATAGAGGGGAGCTCTAGGGGCATCGGGAGCTCCTTTTGTGCCCTGGCACCACCACTCTGCCTTGTGCCCTTGGGTTCCTGTTTTCTATCTGCACGTGGGTGATGTGCACGCCCACCCTGCAAGGAGTGAGCCAGGCAATACCCAGGCCACACGGCCGCTGCTTCCCACAGTGCTCGGTGAATGGAAATGCTTGGCTTTGAGCTGTAGGCTCTCTGGCCAGAGAGGGCCAGGGGCTCCTACTCCTAGGAGGAAGGTGGTGAGCGACTACACCACCTTTCTTCAGAGTAGCTTTGAAAACCCTGCAGACGGACGTTTGCAGGCCCATGTGCCACTTCCGTACCTGTCCTCTGGGAGCTTGTGGTCAGCGAAGCCTGCCCAGGGTAGGGGGCAGAGACCGGGGTGCCACTCAGGCTGTGCTCCCTTGGTTTACTGTTGCATGAGGAACCCACCAGACTGGATCAGGAGCCAGAGTCCCCCGGGGGTTGACACTATCTGAGATTAGGGTTCGTGGGCACCAAGGGCTCACCCTCTGAGTGGCCACAGGAGGAAACCATGGTCAGATGAACCCGATTCTGTTTCTTTACTGTGATCTCAGCCTCTCGGGGTGCAGTGCAGACACCCTGGCCTTGGCCTTCACTGAGCCTAGATTCTGCCCAGCCGCCCTCTGGATCTGTGGATGTCCTTACCAGCACCTCCAGGAGGCAGCTAATGGGACTTCAACTTTCAGAAACAGAAAACTTTATTTGGGGTCCCCAGTACATTAAATCATGGGCAGAATAGCCAGGGAAGGTTTTTTTTTTTTTTTAAGCCTGAAATGTCAAAGAGCTTGTGAGGCAGATGAGTCCCCTCCCAGGCCTAGAGGGGACTGTCCCCAGAAGGAGTTGCCAGTCAGTCTGGGTGCTGGGGCACTTGATTCTTGGTCAGGGGTGGTAACTAAAGGGATAGAGGCAGACTCTATTTAAAGATGTAAAGCAGGATCTGTCGGTAACAGAGTTGCCAGATGCTGGCCATAGCGGCCAGAAATACAAATGCATTTTCTTCAAATTCTTAGCAAATGTTCTCTTTTGGTACAAGCTTTGACAGGTCCCTTTTAAAATGAGGTGTTTTTCAAAGTTCCATGCAGGGCCCGTGGGGAGAGGCTCTGGCTCCTGATTCAATCCGGCAGATGAGCTTGTTAAGAAAGCAGCTTAACAAGTGCCCACGCCACACAGGCCACCTCCCCTGTGCCATTCAGTGGCCTTTAGTATATTTGTGGAGTGTGTGAAGTCCTTGCCACATTAGCAGATAAGCTCTTATCCCATCTTGACAGTCAGGGCTCTGGGGGACACTGAATAACCGTTAAAACCTTACTGTGGTTTCAGAATCTTTTCTAAAGAGACTGTGGTTTTCAAGTTCTACTGTGAGAACCAGAAAATAAACATACTGTATAAGACCAATAGGGTAAGACCACAGTGCTCTTCACTGTTTTCCCAGGCAGGACACTAAGGATCTCGTTTAGTTACTTTTTTTTATTTTTAATTTCCCTTTGCACAGTTCTAATGTGGTCAGAGAAAATTAGAATGGGTGGGTTGGGGCTGCAGGAAGATCCCTCCTCAGTGGTCTCCATGGTCCACGATGAGGGAGGTCTCTGATTGGCACATGGGGATAGTTAGTGTGAAGCCAATCCTTCAGCACACCCCAGCCACCCCTGAAAGCTTTACTGTGAGACACACTTCAATGATGGACGTTCAAATTGATGATTTCATTTAAAGGCCAAGGTCAGATTAGCCAAATGGTCATCCAAAGAGGTTGAGGTTTAAAGGTTAGTGGTTGTTATGGGGTGAGGTGGCATTGTCTAGCACACTGCAAATACTCGACAAGCAGACCCTGGATTCGTCTTTCCGTTTCCAAAAATATCTCACTCCTGTTGATGTCAGGTAAGCATTCATGAACTGGCCGCCTCTTACCAACTTGACAGGAATATTCTCCTGGTCTTATCTGGCGACCAGAACTTATGATAGAACATGTGGTTGTTGTCCAGCCAGGGCATCTGGCCTCCCTGTCGGGGGACAGGGCTAACTGGTTTTCAGCTACAGACCTGGTTTTCCACGCTCGACACCTGTTTAGCGATCGCCTCTGCTTTTTCCCCCAGGACTGGTGCTCCATGAAGAGGTGAAACCATGAAGAGAAAATAGAACAAATAAATAATGCTTTTCCGCAATCGCTTCTTGCTGCTGCTGGCCCTGGCTGCACTACTGGCCTTCCTGAGCCTCAGTCTGCAGTTCTGTGAGTACAGGGCCAGGCCCCGTGCGGGAGGGTGAGGGCATCGTTCCGAAATAGGGGGTCTGAGTCTGTAGGAAGCAGGGAGGCCCCTGAGCCTTTGTTCTTTCTCAATGAACCACAGAGGTTTTGAACAATAGGGTCTTTTTTTTTTTTTTTTTTTTTTTTTTTTTCATTGGTACCTGGGGTATAAGGCTGCAAGCAGGAAACCTAAATCACTGACCAATATTCTGGGGCTGCTCTTTGGGCTATGAGAAACAAGAGTGCTCGCTAGGTCCTGTGACACATTTTCTACTTCTGTATGGACATTAAAACTCCAGTTATTCCCAGAACCGAGGCCGAGGTGGAGGCCGAGTGGCCCAACTTGACTTCTCGGGCAAACTCACACAGAGCAGGGGTGTTTGGGCTCAGGTTGGCCCCCAGGGGAGTTCAGTGTCCTCTTAATTTTTCAGTAAGACTTAGGGCCAGAGTTGTTGGGGGCAGGGTGGAGCCATGAGGTCACTGGCATCAAACTCAGGTTCCTGGGCAGCGGGGGCTGGGCGTGGGCAATTCTGTGTGACAAGACAAGATGTCGCTGGTGAGGCCAGTCCACCGACTTCCACATCCTTCAGTGGCATCCCTGTGTCCAGTCTGTGCCCCAAACCTGTGCACACTACAGCTCCCCACAAGCAGATGTCCTCAAGCACAGACCTGGCCCTGACACCTCCTTGACGGTGGCCCTTCCTGGTGGCCCTCGAGGGGCCTGTCTGTGCTTGCTGTTCTCCACAAGTGCCAGCCTCCCTGTGTGCCCACTCTCTCTGTCCTCAGCAACGGGTGCTCTTCCTGTACCTGGCCCCGGGTTCTTTCAGAGCTTGCCTCCTCTCCTCCAGGAATCTTCCATGGGCTCCCAAGTGTTTGCTGCTTCTGTGACGTACATCTAGAAGCACAGAGTCTGTCCCTCCTGTCATTAACCAGGCAGTATCAACATTTTCCATTCTTTTTTTTTTAAATTTTTTTTTAGTTGAACATGGACACAATACCTTTGTTTTACGAATTTATTTATTTTATGCGGTGCTGAGGATTGAACCCAGTGCCTCACGTATGCAAGGCAAGTGCTCTGCCACTGAGCCACAGCCCCAGCCCAGTGTTTTCCATTCTTGTGTCATTTCCTTCTATAAGATTGTCTGTTCTTGATAGCAGGGACCCTGTCATGTTTGCCTCTGTATCCCAGGAACCAGCTTTGCCAGGTACATAGTAGGTGAACGTAGGTTGGATGGATGAATCCAAGCCCACTCTGGGAACGAGGCTGGCCCTCATTCCCTTTCTGAACTAAAAGCCGAGCAAGCGTCTGTCTATGCTGGGAATTGTGCTTTTGCCGCCACCTGACTTCTATCTGTTTTATCACCTCACCCTATAGAACAGAGGACCTGTTCTTTTGGCACCTGTCACCACCCAGAACATGTTTGTGAGGAGGTGGCATTTCGTCTCATTTTCAGTGACAGAAAGAGGAGGCAGTGGGTGGGATGTGGTGAGTTCCTGTGGGGAGAGTTGGCATCGGGAGTAGGTGGTTTAGCAAAGAGGAGGCTCGGAGCAGGTCTTCCCGATTCACCTCCAGCGTGACTCTGTGCCAGGCGCACCTTGGGGACACGTGACAAGCTATTTCTAATAGTAAAGAAAATTTAAAATAACTTATTTCATCCTTCCAGAATTGGAAAGGAGGTCAAGAGAATGTGGGCGCAAGAAGTTTAAAAATACTCCAGATGGTTAATGAGCTGCAAACTATGAATCCTTTCCAAAAAAAGGGTGGTTTGATTTTCAGTAGTTTAATTGTTTATAATTTCTCATTAAAAAGTTTCCACCCTTTGGTCAGAGAAGTGGGATGTTACAGTCAACCCAGAGGTTTTACCCTGAGACCCAATAGGTTCTGAGAGGTGGCTGTGGGTGACTTGTGTTCTCTGGCATGCGCTGGTCCTCACGTCACTGAATGGGCCTGTGTGTGTCTTGCTTATATAACTCTTCTGAAAGTACCTCTGTTTCAGGAGAGCCAATTTTCAGCCACGCTTTTTTAAGGAAAATTTTTGCAGGGTAAATTAGCCTGGCTGGCTCTAAGTTCTTTATTCTGGGGTACGTCGGAGTTCAGAAAGATATTAAGAAATGGACGTTCTTGCCTCTCTTCTACTCCTAGGTAAAGTATAACTGGAATTTTCTCGTTTCTATAGAAATGAAGTTCAGTTGCTTTATTTATTTTATTGCTTTATTGCTTGCTTATTATTTCGGTATAAGAAACTGCACTAATTCATACTATGAAGATTTTACTTGAGTAAGACTGTCTTTTTTTATTCTTACCATAAAATGTATGGAACTTTTGCTCTATAATTCCTTTTGACTAATTTTTGAATTTTATACCAGCCCATATAATAATCTTAAATAATATGCTTGAGGCCATAAACTCTAACTTGGTCTTCTCATTGCCTGAAGTAAGCAGTATGGTTTTGTTTTCTGAAATGATCGTCTATCTTATTTCCTCTGGTTGGTAGTTTTCCTTTTCTGGTGTTTTGAATACCAAAAAGTTAAGACCCAGGTTACGATTCAGAAATTAGGTTGCTTAAATAAGTGCTTCTTCCTCTGGGTACGGAAGGAATGCAGTGAGCCCACATGCATTTATTAAGTGCTTATGTGGGTTTGATGTTGGAGGGGGTTAGTAGGGAAGGGACACACAAAAGATTAAGTTACAGTTTATAGTCTCTTGAAATAGGTCCATTAGCATATAATGGACCTATTCTGTATTTCCAAGTTCTTGATGTTATCCTAGTTAAAATTCCCACAAGTAGAAAAATGACTTCTTAAATCGCGGGGCTCCTTCATCACAGCAGGGAAAGACGGTCAGGCTGTGAAGACTCGTGAATCATTAGTTATGTTTCTGCTTCTTCTGCTCATTTATAGTCTCCCCACTTCCCTCCTCTGCCCCAGCATTTCCTTGATGCTTATTTTGTGCTTGGTGCTCCATGTTCCAACTGGCATTCCCAAAATGGCGGTGTGACAGGAGCACACAGGCTCTTGAATTCCAGCCTTGGGTTGGAAGCTCAGCTTCCCCGCTAAGCATCTGGGTACCCCATTTCCTTCCCGTAAAATAGAGTTAACGATTGCTGTTTTGCAGGATCGGTATGAGAATGAAGAATTTTGGAAAAACCCTTGGCTCATGGAAGCCTAGCCAACATAAATCTTTTAAGCAAACCACACTCCCATCATAATGCACTGTCATCAGAAACTAGGGCTCTTGGTGTTCCAGAAGGCTGCCAGAGCTTCTGTTCCTTCAGCCACAAGATGGAGGGGGAAGCTTTTGAAATATGTCATCCGTTTATTTATTTTTTATTAGAGCACATTGGCCGGGATGGGGGTTAATCTGTACAGAGCACATGGTGTACGTATCTGGGGGTGGTCCTCTTGGGCAGGGCCCTGATTGATCAGAGCAGGTTCAGAGGGAACGATTGGAGGTGGACTGGAGATTCAGATCCCAAGTGGAGGAGGCGAGGCTAGCCTACAGAAGTGAAAGACCAGGATATCTTCAAAATCTGAAGTGCCCGCTCTGCCAGGGGTCAGACCTGATCTGCGTGGCCCACGTGAACGTGGAGACAGGTTTCTCTTAAGCGGGAAGTAGAATTTCCCGAAGGGGGTGCCACACAGAGGTGGCCTGGGTGCTGTGTTCTCCATCACTGGAGTCTGCAAGCTCTGAAGGGTTCAATATGAGGAAGGTCATAGGACCCGGTCCCATTTCAAGTCTCTGAAATCTGAGACTGTGTGAAGTTTAGTATGTGCGTCCCTGGAGTTTCCCTCCTGGGCGGGGACTGAAGTCCTTCAGGGGCCACAGACAGCTCTCTGGAGTGTCAGGAGCAGACATTCAGAATGCCACATACCGGGTGCCAGGGCAGATAGGAGGCAGGGGCACAGCTAGGTGGGAAGAAGTGTGAACTCTGGACCCAGACCACCCAGATGGAGTCCCTGTCCTGCCATTCATCAGCCGTGGGAGCTCGGGCAAATCATTGACCCCCTTCATGCTTCAACTCCTTCCCGTTCAAAGTGGGGCTAGTGATTGTCCCAACCCCATGAGTTGGCGAACTAGAATTTTTAAAACCCCTGGCACCTGTAATCTCAACGTATGTGTTTGCTGAGTCAAATGAATTAGAAATTATCTGTGGCAGAATGTTCTGGGAGGATGGAAGACAAGAACTCAGCAAGGACTGGGGAGTCAGGTGGCATCTCCACTCCTCCTTAAGCAGGGCTGGAATTGGCCAAGGGTGATGCTGGAGAAGGGTAATCTTACTCCTCTTGGAAGGATGAGAACACTGTCCTTGAGCCTCAGTGACTCTCTGTCACCATTGCACCGGACCAGGGACAGAAGCACACGTGTAACCCGCAGCAGGACACCCAGCCACACCCAGAGGCCAAAATGTTCAGTGTGGGTTTCTCTGGGGGCAGGCTTGTGGGTGATTTTCCTTTTCTTTTTATACCTTAGCGTTGACTATTTTAGGATGAACTCATGTTTAAATGAAGTGTCAAGATCCCTTTTTGGTGTGAAAAGGGAAAATTTTGTGGCGTCGATTCTCAAGAGCCAACTGAAAGTAGAAAACTGTTTCCAAGTACATCATGTTGTTAGGCTGAACCCAGGGGCTTTTGTATTGTCCCTTATGGTTGCAGGGGTCCTGTGACCCCCAGAAACTAAATTCAAAAGACTGTACACAGTCCACTGTCAGGGACAAGGGTCAGTAGCTTTTATCAGATTCTCAAAGGTGAAAGCAAGGGGATTTGGGACCCAAGCAGGTGAGTGACAGGTTCCTTTCCTGATTCTTTCTCAAGGCCTATTCTAGACATCTGTCATTTCTAGTTTTTGTCATGATTTGGATTCTTAAATATTTACATCATCTAATCCAATGACCTGTTGGGTGGAGGCCAGTTAACAGGGAATGTGAAGGATATGGGGTCTCCTGACCTCTAAGAAGCCTCCTACAACTGGGGCTCAAGCTCAGACTACCATGGGGAACCCTTCCCCCAACTCTGGCAATAGGTGGGCTTAGGTCCCAGTGACAGACAGGCAAGGAATCAGGCAAGCAAGAGATAAAGGCTTGCAGATAGCTGGGGTGAGGAACCCTTGGTAGGATGTACTCAGTCCCCAGCCATGGAACTGCCATGGGGTTCACTATTTGCTACCAGGCTCATCAGTCCCTTGCTACAGTCTTACCCAATTTGGTTCACCATGAAGCAGCACTAAGAACAGGGAAGAAGCCAAAAGCAATGGCTCAGGCCTGTAATCCCAGCTACTCGGGAGGCTGAGGCAGGAGGATCGCAGGTTTAAGGCTGGCCTCAGCAACTTAGTGAGATCCCCATCTTAAAAAAAAAAAAATGGGGAAACAGGAAAGGTTGGTGTTCTATCATGGCCCAAAGTGGACAGGTCAAAAAAAAAGGCTAATTGTGTACTCAGCTATCTTCTATTAATCTTGTAAAACCAAGCATCTCAAAGTCTTCAGATGTGAACTTGACTTTCACACTTCGCCTGGGTAACTGATTCCACCCCAACGTGAGTGACTGGAGGCAGTAACTGGAGTGTGGTCTCTCTGTTGTGGTTCTGGTTTTCATCTGGCAATTACAGCAGCCATTTTTAGATTCAGCACAGGTTGGGCATTTAAGATAATCTAGTGAGCTGAGGAGCACCAGGGGAATTGTGGGAATCGACTGTTGGAACACATCGTTATTCCTCGGCAGACCGACGAGGGGGAGAGAATTCCACAGCCTTTTGGAGTATTGTGAGGAGGAAACGGGGGACAGGAGGTGGCAGGACAAGGTGTGTTTCAGCTGGTGAGAAGGTGCTATCTCAGGTGAACTGAATGGACTTAAGGGAGTCAGGAAAGCTAAGACCGGGGTGCCCGAGAGAAGGGGGACTGCTCATGGTGCCTCCCTGAAGGGGCCGCAGGCTCAGCACCCCTTCCCGATCCCGGGTTGAAGGGAGCACCTTTCAAGAGCCTGCAAGGAACAGGGATAATCTGCTCCAGGTGACAAACGTAGAGAGGGAGTTTCTAGGTCCCTTACCATGTTCCATTCACAGGTGACCTCTCGGGACATCCCAGCCACCACCCTGACAAGTCCCACCCCACTTGTCTTACAGATGAAGGGAATGAGGCAGAGAGAGGCAGAGGTACTTGCCCCAAGTCACAACAGCTAGGAAGTCACAGCCCCGGGCCACCTCCCTGCGGTCAGACCATGGATTCCTGGGAAGCAGGGAAGCTCAGCACTGAGTTCAGTGGAGTCCCAAGGAGGAGGTGGTTGCAGCCCCTTAAGGAGGTGACCCGACTGGGGCTGAGGTCCCAACAAGAGCAAGTTGGGCCCTGAGCCAGGAAGGTACCGAGCAGGTAGTGGGGCTAGCCTGGACCCCGACCTCTCTTGGCTGGCGTGGTCAGTGGTGTGACTCATGGGGCAGCACGTCCCGGAGACAAAATTGAGCCAACTTCAAGTCTGTCACGTTCACATTCGCTGGGACACCAATGGTCCCTGATGCTGGACTTTAATCCACCAAGGTTGCTTTATATCCAGGTTCTCACTGACCATTCCTGCTCCCCAGAACCAAGTAGTCTGTGCAGGAGGTGGCATGGACAGAGAAGGCCCTTTCCCCTGAAGGTTTAAATGCTTCCTGCTCCCTCTTTCTTATAATCAAAGAAAGGAAGGCTGGATGGGCAGGTGCATAGATACCAGGCTTGAGCAATTAAAAGGCCTGGGCTTGCAGGCTGCAGGACCCTGTGTCCAAGGCCACTGTCTGGCTGATGGGGACTTCTCCTGGGCTGCAGGTCATTGCTGGAAAAAGCATAGAGGGTCAGTTTAGCTTATATCCTCCTCATTGCAGCTACAGGAACATCTGCTAATACTGCTCACAGAAGCACCCGCTGTGTATCTGGTGTGTGGTGTGATGGGGGCCAACATGGGATGTACTTGGTTTATAGAAGTTTACCGGTTTCTTCTGAGAGCGAGGGGCCCCACGCAGATGCCTCGCAGATTAATATACTCTGCCATTTCTTTGAAATCGAGACCCCGTTGGCATCGTTATACACAAGCTTTAGAGATATGTAGACAGGGTGACAGTGAGCCTCAAGAGCCTTCTACTCGGGGACCACACATGGAGAAAGTGTGTGCCCGTTGGTCAGGGTCATCAGCAATGTTTCTTAGTCTGTTACTCACGTTGGCCATGGTGGCACCATGGCCCAGGGCACTCATTCAGATTCAAAGGATCATTTTTCCCAGATGTGTCATGGGAACTCACCCTTCCCATCTGTTGGCTTGGCCACTCTCACTCCTAACACCTTGGCTCCCTTTCTCTTTCCTGGTGATATCTGAACTCTGGTCATCTGCTCAGGATCACCAGAGTTTCTGATGGTCCCCCGGGGCAGCTGGAGGAGCCAGAGATGTGGGCAAGGCCTACTGGCCCAAGCCACGCTGCCTGGCGTCATGCACAGGTCAACTGGGCCCATGGTTCCCAAGTGGCAGCCCCAGCAGATCTCAGCCATGTGCTTACAGAGAGCCAGGGTGTCCACGGCCCACTGTCCGGGAGCCCTCACCCCTCTGTCCCGTGCCATTCACTTAACAGGATCTCTTCCGTGTCCCTCACCCTTCAGGTGCAGAGGGAATGCACCACATTCCATAGAGAGTAGAGGCAAGGGCTGACGGGCATGCTCACCGCAAGGGCAGCCATTAAGGGGCCACCACGGGCATCTGCTGTCGGATAGTCCCCAACTCTGGCACTGACCACTCAATAGTGAGCTCCAGACCCTGAGCTGCGCTGGCCTTTCTAGCTCCTCCACTGTGGAAAGAAAGGGTCCTAGGAGCAGCCAGGGCTCTACCTTTGAGCTGAAGACAACCCTGTAGTTCTTGAGTGTTGCTTTAGCAATACAGGGAGACATGTTAGAAATAATGACAGAAGCCCGGCAGGTGGCACACACCTTAATCCTAGCAGCTCCAGAGACCAAGGCAGGAGGATCACCAGTCCAAAGCCAGCCTCAGCAACTTAGCGAGGCCCCAAGCAACTCAGCAAGACCCTGTCTCTAAATAAAATATATAATAAAAAGGCTGGGGATGTGGCTCAGGGCTAAGTGCTCCTAGGTTAAATCCCTAGTTTAATTTAAAAAAAAATACTATCTATATGTAAAATACACGAATGCATGTCACCTGTACCTACCATAAATATGTATGTATGTGTGTGGCGGGTGTGTACAAATTCAGACATTTGTAGAAAACCAGGAACACTTTTCACACCCCCATCCCCTACATTCCTCAGAGAAGTCACTGTGTGGGGATGGACATCCTTCTAGACATTTTTCTGTGCGTTTACAAACTAAACAAATGCCTGAATATTCACAAATTTAGTTTTGTTGTTGTTGTTGTTGTTTACAAAAAGAGGATTCTATCAGTGCCCAGTGACTTGGCTCATTTAGTTCATTTAATTTATACTGGATTCTTTCCCCTGCTCTGTAGCTGGGGCAGAGTATTGCATCGTACAGGGTGTTCAGGCTCATTCCCTTTTCCCTTAGTGCAGAAACCCTGCAGTGAGTTTCTTTGGCCATACATCCTTGATCGTGGGAATTGATACATTTGTACAATAGATTCCCAGGCACAGAATAACAGGATGGGGGCTAGTGCACATTTGTAAAGCATATGCCAAATTCCTTTGTCAGGGTGGCTCCACTCTCACCCACAGTGTGCACAAGCATCCGGGTCCCCACGCCCTGACTGATACTGCATCTTATCATCAAAACCTGACTTTCCAGTCTGATGGGGAAAAAAATCATATCCCATGGGTTGTTTCATTTTGTATTCCTTTAATTACAAACAAGCTTGTGCATCGTTTCATATGTTTATTTGCCATTGGTACTTATTTTCTTGTAATTATCCTGTTTATATTCTTTAATGATTTTTTTAGGGCAATACTGATTTATTTATTTTCTTTCTTTCTTTCTTTTACAATGATTTTTTTTTTTTTGAGTTGTGGGGGCTCTTAAGTACTTTGCTGCTTTTTAAAAAATTATTATCATCATCATCATCGGTACCAGGGATTTGTCTGTTATACATGTTGCAAATATTTTCCTCTCAGTGTGTCATCCATCTTTTAACTTTTGCTTATAGCATATGTTTGCAAAGGGAAATCTTAAATATTTATGTAAAATAAGTTAGGGAATTTAAACTGACTTGGACTCGTGGTTGGTCTCTGCCTCAGCAGTTGCTCAGACATATGTGTATATTCCAGTAATTGATAAACCTTTCAGAAGCTAAACAGGTCCATGGATGCCCTTATTTGCATTCATTTCCCTCACAGGGTAGATGCTGAGAGTACAACTGTTATTGTGCAGGGTGTTCTAGAAAAATCTGTGATGCAGCAGGGTGTTCCCCGAACATGGAAGGATTGGGGACCACTGAGGCAGAGGCTGTTCATGGAGGGATAGGTGGCTGGGGAACCCCGAGTCACCATTCACATCGACCAGCACCCAGAAGGGAAGAGTGAGCCTCTGCTAGTGTCTGTCTCGCCTCTCAAGGGAAGGGAGGGCAGTGCCCTATGACTATCGTTCCTGACTCTGGTCACAGGTCCACACTGCCAGGGGGCCGGGACCCTGTTATTGACAGTTCAACCAGACAGAAAGAAGGGAGCGAGGTGGACAGACAGGACAGGCCACAGGATGCCCCCTTGACACCAGAAGGCTACAGCAAGGAGAGTGAGTCTGGAGGCGGGGGAGTGAGCCGAACCAAGGCTCCACCTTCCACCTACATCCGCCCTCACCCTCCTGTAAAGTGGTCTCAAGGAGACCAGTGTCCTGGTGGACGCCTGCAACAGTCAGATGGCATTAAATGAGGAGGTGAGGCCGGTGTCTGTCACTCAGCAGGCCTCACCCGACCACAGTTCTCCTCATTCTGAGAGGAGGATGGGTGCTCACGGTGAAGTTCAGCCCCACCCTGGGCTGCTGCTGGCCTTGCCCTGTGGTGACTGCATCTCCGTGACCTGCTCTGCTTTCCCCGCAGTCCACCTGATCCCCATGTCAGCAGCTAGGAATGGAGCGAGCAGCAAGAGTCGAAAGAGAATCATGCCCGACCCGGTGACGGAGCCCCCGGTGACAGACCCCGTTTACGAAGCCCTTCTGTACTGCAACATCCCTCGCGTGGCCGAGCGCAGCATGGAAGGTGGGCCTGGCTGTGCCCCCAACCTGGCCCCTGTAGACGGGACCTTGATACCTCATGGGCACCCTGTGGGGACAGTTCTCCAAGCATGCAGCACAGCAGTAAGGAGCTGGCCTTCCTGGGCTTGTAGCCAGCAGTTGCCACTAGGCCATGTCCTGTAGCGAGTTCCCCAATCTTAGCCTGCCCCCACGTAAGACGGGCTGGCCAGCGGGACCCGTGCGTGAGATGCTGGTGAGAGCAAGTGACCTCTGTGAACAGCACACCGCTCAGGAGTACCCTCCAGAGGTGTCTGCCATTATCACGGTCTTTAGTGGGCAAGATGGAGCAGTGGCCCCCACCAGGTTCCCAGGCTTCACCCACTCTCAGCTGCTCTGCTTTTCAGGGTAGACCCAGGGTGGACTTCAGATGTCCACGGGATGCCCTGCTGGTGTCTTGCCATAAAGGTGTGGGAGAATGCAGTTCCTTCAGCAAGGTTTGCTTTTCTGAGCGTGTATCAGGCTGGTGTGGAATATTTATCTGTTTGCACTGTGCCCTGTTTCATGGAGGATTTAAAGCAGCAGCCTGGTTATCAGGATTGCCATAGGCCTCCCTGTCTCTGCCTGTGAGTGAGGCCACGTTAATATCACGCCCACATCTCACGGGCCTTCAGTCCCCAGCCACATCCCCTGTCCCACCTCTGGGGCTCTTCAGCAGCCTCCACCCAATGTAGCAGCCCCTCCCACAGCTCAGGCCCCTTGATGGCTGCTCTGCGACCTCTCGGTGCCCCCCGCCCCCCGCCTCCCTCTCATTCCCAGCACAGGCCTGGCCAGGTTCCCCCACCAGTCCTCTTCTAAAAGAAGCGACACCTTTTAGAAGGGTCAAGCATTGACTGGACCCTGTGCTTCTCTCACAGGTCACGCCCCACATCATTTCAAGCTGATCTCCGTGCACGTGCTGATTCGCCATGGGGACAGGTACCCACTGTATGCCATTCCAAAGACAAAGCGGCCAGAAATTGACTGCACTCTGATGGCTAACAGGTAAAGACTCCTTTTTCAAAAGTCACTTGCCACAATCTGCTCTGTCCTGTTCAGTGGAGAGTTACAGGACCAGGGAGCCTGAGCTCCCGCCCTGCATTGAATGTCATCACTGTTCAGATGAAAGGACTGAGGCCGCAGGAGGGTGCATCTCTCTCAGGTAGCCCAACAGGGACACTGAGGCCTGAGCCTGCCAGTTCTGAAGCCCACCCTGCCATGCTTCAGAGAGCTGGGTGGGGCCCAGGGAGCTGTGACTCAGGTGTCCTGGCCCACCCCAGCTGCTCCTTTGGTCTGGGGGCTCAGCTTCTCACCTCTGGAATGGGGACGACTCTGCCGGGCTGGGCTGGGGAGTGTGAGCAATGGCACATGAATGTGAGGTAGTGTTTCCACCATTTTTTTTTAAATGTTTTTTAGGTGTTGATGGACCTTTATTTTTTTTATTCATTTATTCCTTATGCGGGGCTGAGAATCGATCCCAGGGCCTCACGCATGCTAGGCGAGCACTCTACCATTGAGCCACAACCCCAGCCCCGTGTTTCCACCATTTTATTTTTCCCAGGAGTAGAGACAGCCTGGTCTTGGTTGAAAGCCCTTAGGATAAAAAAACAATTGAACAGAAAGTGGAAATTGTATATATGGAAATGGCACAGGCCTAAAATTAGAAGCCTAGTTAGCAATAACGTGATGGGCCTGGCCTCAGCGAATGTGTCTGGGCACAGAGCATCTCTTGCAGGGTTCACTGAATGAGGTCAGAGGGGAGTGCTGAAGGCAGGCAGGCAGGCAGAGTGGGAGGCATTATTTGGATGGAGGTTTCTGGGGTGGGGCCAGCCAGGTGGAACTGTGGGTCCCCTCCCTGCAGCGGGGCTGTTTTTCAAAAGCGTCCTGAACCTGGTCTTGGTTCAGATTCACTGTCTGCGTCTCAAGCCCTCTCACTGGAGTGTGGGGAAGATTAAGTGAACCATTTTAGGTATGGGCATCATGAGGCTCTTGGGTGGTCTTCTCTGTCATCCTGGAGGTCACAGGCTGGCAGCCTGGCTATTCGTATCTTCTTCCCTGTGTCCAGCAAAAGGGAGTGTATCCCATTGTCTCACAGGTTGGAAAACACCCTGGGTGAGTCCAGACCACGTCAGAGGACAAATGGATACCGCTCTTCCCTCCACGCTGAGCCCCTACTCTCTTGCCCTTTCCCAGGGGGCTCCCCTGACTCCTCCCCAGCCCCTCCCTTCATGTCTTTGCATTTCATGCCACTTCACTGCCTGGTCCCCATCCTTGCTTGGCCCAATTTGACAGCTTCTTCAAGGCCCCTCGAGATGCTTCCTCCTCCAAGAAGCCTCCCCAGCACCTTTGGGTGGCTCTGTGGCCCTGGTGGGATACACTGAAAAGAGGGGTAAATGGCATAGGTGTCAGGAAAAGCAAAGCAAGAGTTAAATGTCTGAAGGCAGTCCCTCGCCTGGCCTCGGGCTGGGGCAAGGTGGAGGCTCTCATTGTGCTGGGTTATTGGCGCCAAAGCTCTGGCGGGTGGAGGAAGTTGGCACAGGGAGTGGCTTATCTCCATCAGGCACAGCAGGGTTTCTGTGTGTCAGCAGCTGGCACAGCCCTGCCCTTGCCCACTGGCTGGACATCAGTCCTTTGATCAGCCAGGAAGGAGGTGGACCACGAGGCCTCTAGGCCGGGCCTGTGCAGGGCAGCCTTGAGGGCACTATGAATAATTATGAGCTTCTCCCCCAGCCGCTCCCAGCATCCGTTTCCTTTTTCTTTCCTTCATGAGTGCGTTATAGCTCCACACAATAGTGGGGTTCACGCTGACAGATTCATAAATGCATTATAACATAATTTGCTACACGTCAATCACTAGTACTTCTCTTTATCCTTCCTCCTCTCTCCCCAATCCCTTCCCTTACCCTACTGCTCTCCTTCTTATTTATTTATTTACTTATTTATAATTTCTTAGTTGTGCATTTTAATTACACACGAAAGTAGAACTCACTGTGATCTCGGCTCACATGCACATAGCATCGTTCAGTCAGTTTCATTCCACAGTTCCTCTTCTCTCCTGCTGCTCCTCCTCCCTCCCCCTCCATCCCCTTTCTCTGTTTTGCTTGTCTCCCTTCTCTTTTCATGAGATCCCCACTCCTTTTTTAACCTCTTACTTTTCTCTAGCTTCCACATATTAGAGACAACATTCAACCCTTGACTTTCTGAGTCTGGCTTGTTCCATTCACATGATGCTCTCCAGTCCCATCTTCTTACCAGCAGTGACATAGCTTCATTCTTCTTTATAGCTGAGTAGAGCTCCACGGTGTAGAGGTACCACATTTTCTTCATCCACTGACCGGCTGACAGACACTCAGGCAGGTTCTATAACTTGGCGATATGAACTGTGGATGCTCTAAACCTGGAATGCAGGTCTCACTGTAGTGTGTTGATTTCAGCTCTTTTGGGTAAATACTAACGAGTGGGATCCCTGGGTCTTCCCCTTTCTCTAGCTGGGCTTTGCATTCCCAGAAGGCAGAATTTAATTAGCACAATGCAGACCAGGGGTCTGTGCCGAGACCAGTTAGCTGTTGCTAGAAGGTCTCTGGGGGCTGCTCTTGCAGAGAAGGGTGCCCTTGGTCAGGGCCGCCTGGCAGAGCACAGGGTGTCCCCTGTGCGCCAGGCACTGTGCAGCTCATCTTCCCAGCATGCTCGTCTCTGCTCTCCCTGACTGTCCCTGGATCACCAGGGCCCAGCCCAGAGCTTGGCGTGAAGCAGTTATTGGACTGGGTGGGTTGCAGAATGAGTTCAGGACTTCAGTGAGAATCACAGGGCGTAGTGCCTTTGATGTGCTCCTGTCACGCGCCTGCCGATGGGTTGAAGCCTCAGCCATGGAATCCCTGGAGGCCTTTGCAACGTGTTTGATGATGGCAAAATCACTTCAGCTCCCTGGGCCTCTGTTCTCCACTCTGGAAAGCAGGGTTAATGATGCCTCCCATACAGCACCTGTGAAGTCCAATGAGACAATGGGATAAGCATTTAGGCTAGTCCACTAAGCCTGATGAGTGGTCACATGTCATTGCCCACAGTGGCTGGGGCCTTCTGGGCCCAGCCACTTTCCTCCTCTGCAGTAGACTTGACCAGTCACTAGACCAGGCCATGTCCCAGGGCCCCTCATGCTATTGCCACAATGACAGGGCCCTCAGGTGGGGTCCTTTCTGGAGCGTCTGTGACCACTTGCCAGAGCTGCCTCTGTCTTCATTTCCCTTTGCCTATTTTCGTTTTATGGACCATCCTGTATTTGTAGGAGCTATTTTAAGTCCTTTGTGGAAGAGGGCAGGGTGTGCATGTTTAGTTCCAGTAGCCCCCCTCATCTGAGATCCCCTCTCCACCAGTTTCCATTACCCGTGGTCATCTGCAATCTAGAAATATTAATAGAAAATTCTAGAAATAAACAGAAAGTCCACATGCACATAACATTTATTAGGGTATATTGTTATGACTGTTCTGTTTTATTGTTATTCTTGTTAATGTCTCACTGTGCTTAACTTATAAATTAAGCCTTATCATAGTAGGTCTGTACAGGAAAAAAAGAAAAAATATATCATCCACAGTTTCAGACATCCATTAGTTATCCTGGAACCTGCCCCCCTCAGACAAGGGGTGCTACTGTACCTAACGTCTTTTACTCAATTCCATCTTTAAAGACACACATACTAGTGACAAGCCAGCTCGTCACTGGAGACATACAGCGTGAGGAGGAGCCCAGTGTGGGAGACCCACTGTGAGCCACCGACTAACTGCCCGGGGTCTGTGGATCTGGTTCCACAGCTGACATTTCAGCTCACAAATTAGCAACTTGGTGACATCCTCGCGGGCAGTGAGCCTTGCCTGCAGTGAGCGCACTGCTCCCACTGTGGAAGGGAATGTCTGGGCCAGAGGGAATCTCAGGCAGGCAGGAGTGGTGGCCCGTCCACACCAGTGCCTCAAAGTTTCCTCCCACATGGACACGTCTGTGACTCTTAGAGGTTTTGAACCTCTTTGCGAATGCCACACACTTTATGACAGGGGTCCCGTCTCATCCCTCAGAGTACTATGTTTAGCCAGCATGAAAGTATTCATTATTCATGTACCATGTTTAGTTAATTCCTTTTTGTACATTCAGGAATGTAAACCAAATGTGCTTTTGTAGATCTAAGGAGGAAAAACATTCACTTCAGTCCGCAATTATTCAACACATTTTAGTTCTGTTCTCCTATCGTGCGCCAGGTACTGTCACATAAACAGGAACATAAACAAAGCGAGGCAGCCAACCCGCGATGATCTGGAGAAGGGGTTGCAAGGAGGGAGTTCAAGGAGCCAAGGCTGGACCCAGGAGGAAGGGGAGGGTGGGCTTCAAAGTCACAGAGGGAAGGCCATCTCTGCCCTTGGGGCCTGCTCACCTCCAGAGAGACCAACTTAGTGCCGGTGTCTGGTGACCCTCCCTGAATGACAGCCAGCTCAGGTGGCAGAGACAGTGAGGAAAGAAGAGAAAGAAGAAGAGCAAGAAATGAAATGGTTTGAGTGCCCGCATTTTGGAGCATGAGCCAAAAGAGGGCAGCCCATCTCCACTGGGGGCAGGGAGAGGAGAGCAGCTGGCAGGTCAGGGAAGGCCACCCTGGGTCAGCAGCTGGAAAAGTGTGCAGGAACAGGTCAGGTAGCTGCTGACAAGAACTGGCCCCTGGGGCAGGGACACCAACCAGTGCACATCGGGGGATGCAGGACAGGGTGGATGCTGGGGTCCTCAAAGTGAGGAGTGCAGAGGGGTGGAAACAAGGCTGTCTCCGATGCTCCCAGTGCCAGCAGGGGAGAGAAGGCATGAAGTGACCACGCTGCACAGCAGGGGTTGGAAGCAGGTGGCAGGGTTAATGCTGTTAAGGGACAGTGGTCCAGAGGGAGTCCCTGGGAGCGGGGCCTGCCTTCCAACCACAGCCTCCAAGGCCTCCTCTGCCATCTGACCTCCCCTGGTGCTCCCCTCACCCTCTCTGTGCTGCAGCGCTCCCAGCTCTCCCCGGGACACACTTCATTATACAAATAATGATGGAGTCTGGAACTCAGGGAAGGGCCGCAGAGATGGAGGGGCGGGCCTTAGAGAAGGGCCATGCGGGGTCATTAGGCAGATTAGGAGGGGAATTGTGTCCAGATTCTGATGGGTCATCTTCTGGTGGCACCGCCCCTCCCTGGAATAGAGAGCATGGAAGAAGGGAGGAGGGAAGGGAAATTGTGACTTTGGGCGTCCGTGCTGCGAGGGAGCCGTCTTCCAACATTCAGGTGACACCGTCCAGTACTTGGGCGCTCGGGAGCATCATCTTGCTGCGAGACGGGGTCACTGGACAGTGTTGAGTATGTGGGTGGCAGCTGAAGCTGCGGGCTTGAGTAGATCCCAGGGAGAACCTGCAGAGTGGGGAAAGGGCCAGAAGCAGGCCTAGGAAGCAACATTATGTAATTGGCACTGAGAGGAAAGAGGCCCCTCCAGGGGTGAGGCTGAAGGTGTGCCAACTGGGGAGGTCGGCAGAGCAGAGGAGAGCAGAGGCGTGTGCGGCCATTACTCACATCACGTAGAACAAAAAGGCCCGGGAAGCCAAAGACAGAAGGGTACACTGGGCTTATTTTAGAATTTCATTTTGTTGAGATTGTAAATAATAATTTTTTTAGCATAAATGTTAAAAATCTGGTGTGAAGCCCTTCCTGTCCCCAGCCAGGTGGGTTTGGGGCGTGGCTTTCTGTTAACAGTGCTGATGCTCTCACTCTGTCCTCTGAGCACTTGAACATTCTGTGCAGGGCTCAGAAATGCCTCAGCATCCACTGAAGCAGAGCACGATCCCTCCTGAGAGTATAGATTGGCCATGGGGCTCTATCTCGAGCTTTGTGGCATGAATAGGGACGAGCAAGGCACATAAAAAATGTGAAAAAGACTCAGAAGTGAATGATTTGAAGGCTTTAAATCAGAGCACTGTGGATTCTTTCAGATTTCAGTATGAAAGCAGATTTCCAATGAGACGGCAATGAATTTTTGCGGAAGGAAAATGCATCTGCTTAGATACGATCATTTCTCCATTATTCAGGACAAGTCTGGGCCGTAGTAACAAAGAGACTCAAGAATATATTGCCTTAGCCAGGCCTCAGTGACTCACGCCTATAGTCCCAGCAACTTGGGAGGCTGAGGGAGGAGGAGTGCAAGTTCAAGTCCATCCTCAGCAACTTAGGGAGGTCCTAAACAACTTAGCAAGACCCTGTCTCAAAAAATAAAAATGGCTGGGGATGTAGGTCAGTGGTAGAGTGCTCCTAGATTCAATCAATCCCCAGTATCCACCCCACCCTGCCCCCGCAAAAAAAAAAAAAAAAAAAAAAAGGCCTTGCCTTAAATAATAAAGAGTTCGTCTCTTTTTTGGGTGAAGATATGAGATAAATGTTCCCAGTCATGTGCCTTGGCTCTACCTGGTCATCAGGGCTCTAGTTTCCTTCCAGGTGTTGATTCTACCATCCTCATGTACCACTGGCACGCTCACCCACGATGGCCTTTGTTTTTAAGATTTCCATCAAAATCTGCATGTTTTAATAAACACTACAGGAACTCATCGTATTCGTCACTACAGATCATGGAGGGCTTGGCATTCAGGGTTGGTGTTTGCATGAGGATGAGACACTTCACAGTTGAATCCATCCCCATGTGTTTTTGGCACATCTACCTTGTGCTCGGTGTCCTCTGGGCTCCATGGAGCTGTAGCAAAGGGAGGCAAGGCCAGGGGGTCAGATGGGAACATGTCCAGGGACTCAGTTACCTAGTCCTTCCCCTATTAAAATCACTGAGCCACCTGTTATCTGTTTTGGAAGTGAAGTTTTTTTCCCCTCTGTGAATCTTTGTCTTTCCATACAAGAAAAGTAGCAGTGATGGATGCAATTAGCTATCAAAGCATCATTAAGCAACCAGAGGCCCTGAAAACCTAGGGCATCTCAGCAAACATTCAGTAGTGAAATTCCCCCATTGCTCAAATTGGCAGCAAAACTGTCTCAGATCCTCAGAAATCACCAACCTGAAATGATGAGCCGGAGCAGAAACTTGACTCCTGTCCATGGTCAGCCTTTGTTCCTGTGGATCTGCGTATGCCCCTCATTGTCAGTCTGGGCATTTCATTTCCTAGTTTGCAAACATCTGTGTGCTTTAACCTCAGGAAAAATGAAATTCTCTCTGTGTTTTTATGGAAAGGCATAATTCCCTGAAGCCATGCAGGGTGATTTATGAAACTCTTCTGCATGTCAGGATTAATATTCTCTCAATTTAAAACATGTTTTTTAAAAGATGGATTTTTTTTTTCAGCTTTATGTTTTTGAAAGATAATACACGCATTTTGGCAGCAATATTTAAAGCATCACCAAAGTTAATTGGGCTTTCAGACAGCAGGGGTTTGCTATTAGAAAGCTTTATCTTGGCTTCTCACTGGTCCCTGTGTAGTTTTGTTGTGAACGTCTCTGTTCATTTTTGTTCACCTGGAAAATGTGGACACATTCATGGGCCATTTCATTATTCAAAGAAAATGTCCATATGCTCATAGGTCATTCATTATTCAGGGGAAGTGACTTTGAAAGTAAATTATATCTTCACTGACCGTACAGAAATGTAGATCATCTCAGACCTCATATACAAACTTTTTTAGCTCTTCCTCACCACTCCACATTCATATGTGCAAAATGCATGTTGAACTATAAAGAGCTACAGAGACCTTGGATGTCTCGTTCAGTTTCCAGAGGTCAGAAAAAGTAAAGGTTAGGGTCAGCTAGGTCAAGGTTGGGTGGACTTTCTAGGAGGAAAGGACTTGTAGAAGGTGTGCAGTGGGAAAGGATGGGGTGTGCTATGTGCTGGGAGGACCAGTTGGCCCTGTGTGGCCAGGGCACACTGCTGGAGGGAACACGGCTGGGCAAGTGGGGAGCCGCAGGTGGGGCCAGAACAGCCTGTGCACAGCTCTTTCCTGAATGTGGCAATGTGGAAGGGCAGTGACCCAGCAGAGGTGCCTTTGAGGTCCATCCCTCTGGCTATGGAGAGGACCACAGTGAAAGGGTACAGTTAACCTGCAGGAAGGCTGGTGAGGGCCCATTGCCATCCAGATGGAAGCTGCCTGAGGCCAGAACCCAGGGATGCAGGAGAAGGAGACAAAGAAGCACCAAGTGGAAGGATCTGGGAAGTTGGAGGGCAAGTGACAAGGGAGAGAACAGGACAACCCCTTGCCTGGGGCAGGGCTGCTGCGTAGTTTTGGGTGGCCTCCAGGGAAGGCCAAGAGCAGCCCGGTAGGGAGAAAGCTGGAACAGGACAAAGACAAATCCCACAGGGCCACCTTAGGTGCAGTGAGGGGCTCGGGCTGACCTTCCAGAGAATGTTCCCGTGGTTGAGTCATAATGAAATTGCAATTTAAAAGTGATGGACCCAGCAGCTCAGGAGGCTGACGTGGGAGGATCCTGAGTTCAAAGCCAGCCTCAGCAACTCAGCAAGGCATTAAGCAACTCAGCAAGACCCTATCTCTAAATAAAATATTTTTTAAGTAAAAGGGGCATGGGGCGGGGGATGTGGCTCAATGGTTAAGCACCCCTGGGTTCAATCCTCAGTACAAAAAGAAAAAGAAAAGTGGCTGAACCAGACCCTGTTACTGGGGGTGAGAAAGGTGTGGATGTGAAGTCCGGGCTGTGTGTGACGCACTCTGACCGTCAGTTTTCCATGTCTTCTCTTTAGGAAGCCTTACCACCCTAAACTGGAAGCTTTCGTGAATCACATGTCCAAAGGATCAGGATCCTCTTTCGAAAGCCCCTTGAACTCTATGCCGCTCTACCCCAACCATGCCCTGTGTGAGATGGGGGAGCTCACGCAGACAGGTACGTGACCGCCCCCCACCCCTCCCCTCACCCACATGAGGAACCGATACTCTGGGTGAGGTGCTATGGGGCTCAGAGGGGAATCGACCCTCACCTCGAGGTGCTCCAAGACTCCCAGGTAGCTGATAAACATCGGCTACACTGGGCTTATTTTAGAATTTCATTTTGTTGAGATTGTAAATAATGACCCAGCAGTAAGAAGAAAAATGACTTTTCTTCTTACTGCAAAAGTGATGCATGTTCAGGAAGAGAATTGATAAGATTTTAAAACCAAAAGAAAGCACCAGAGTGTCACCAAGGAAGCAGACCCTGAGTGGTGACCTTTCTTGCTGTGGGTGTGTGTGTGTGTGTGTGTGTGTGTGTATGCACACACACATAGAGCAGTATGTCACTAACACACTCTGACCCGCTTTGTGACATCAGAATATTTGACGAGCATTTTGCCCTGTCATTTAATGTTCACCCCATGACCGTGATGGCCGCACACTGCTCCACCCAGGAGGGACCGTCGCTTACCTGACCAGCCTATGTTCTTATGTCTTGCAAACCAAACTGCTGCTTGAATGTAGCAGACCTCAGGGAGCCACGGTATGGCGATTCCCACTGCACATGGAGGATGTTTGGCCTCCTCACGAAGCCTATCTCTGCCTCTATGGCCTAGTCGTACCACTGTGCAGTCAGGTCACCATCAGGGGAGGTCACTGAGTTAGCTGCAGGGTGACATTTGCTGGGAAGGAAATGGCATTTCAGGGTCCTGGTTCTTCAGTCTGGGACCTCAAAGGACCTTTGTGCAGCCACCAGCCTCCGTGGGGATATGGAGAGGCCCGACACCATGCTCTGGTCCCTCGTTCTGTCAGCATCTTGGGGCCTCTGTTTAGATGGAAGGAGGGTCTTTGTCCTAGAGTTGGGACTGCTGGGTTTTGCCAGGTGTTCAAAGCCACAGTTGTTGGGGGAGTGACGGCAGGTGACAGAGGGGCAAACAAGGCTCTGGAGGACTTGCCTTAGCTGGAGAGTTGGGTCCAAAGCCAGTACCACGTGCATGACCTCTGTGTGAGTTTAGAATAGGGCTTTTCATCCTGCCTGACTACCACTCCCTTTTCTTCACAAATGTTTTATTCTCCCTCAAATATCCTGAAGTGAAAGTTCTAAATAATATAGCCCTTCTAGATACTCATTTTTTTAAAAAGTTCTCTCGGGGCCCCAGCTGTACCAAGCAAAAGGAAACTAGGTTCTCTGTGTCTATCAAATATAAATGCTTGGGAACTGCTACAGTAGGAAATAGAGTAATCAAGTGTCCTCCCTGAATATGCCTTGGTGACCGTGACAGTTACAAATGCAGATGATTGACACCACATGTTAGTTTGTGGATTCTCTTCAAGTTCTAATCAGAACAAAGTACAGATCTCCCTTAATTTATGTCTCCTCTCTGGAAATTCAGTGGACGTTAATGTTACCCAAAAGTCATTTTATGTTTGTAGACACAAGAAGCCAGAGTTATATTCTAGACTAAAATGTTTGAACAGGTTTTCTCCATGGGAGTATCTTGTGGTACATTCAGATGTCGTGTGGGACAGAACGGTTGTCCCATGTGAAGAGTGTCTAGCCCCCTGTCCCCACCCATGAGGTCCCAGGAAGGCCCTTCCCTGATACTGTGCTGATTCAAGTCTGTCTGGCCCCACTTGAGTGGCCCTCCCTGAGGACAGGACCTCACTTGCTGAGAACTGCTGGTTACACTGTCTGGTTGTGAACATCAGAAACCAAGTCAAGTGAAAAGGGAAATTTATTATAAGAATTCAGGGGTGACTCAAAGAGTCCAAGGGTAAGAATGCGGCCAGACCTCCAGAGACTGGGACTGGGAGTAAAAGGCTGTCTCACCCCTGCCTCTCACTGTGGCTTTTTGCTGGGTGTCTGCCAATTAGTTAGCAGTAAGAGCCACACCCAGAGACGAATGTACAGGCCAAAAGCTTGAGAGAGAGACTCCACTGAGGTCCGAGAGGGTCAAGGTGACAGAATAACTGTGCAGCGAGCAGAGGGGACAGGAGGCTCAGCCTGAGGATCCAGCCTGTGGCCCAGGCTAGGTGCAGGGGGAGCTCACACACTTAGAGGCAGTCATTCATTTGGACTTTTCTTCTCAACTGATGTATCATCATCTTTGTTCTGTCAATGAGCATTACTCTGGGAATCATTTTTTCAGGGCCCATTTACTCCTGTTCCTTCATTCTCTTTAATGGTCACTTTTATCTTCTATTTTCAATGTCTTTAAAAATGCATGGCTGTCGTAAGAGTCATTTTTTCCTGGCATACTTATGGCACCCCACAGTGACTGCATCAGATGGCTCCTCGGCGCCTGCTCTGCTGGAGAGGCCCTGGTGGTGGCTGAGCCGGCAAAGCCATTATGAGCAAGGCCCTCTCGGTGCCTGTCCTAAAGGGATCCCTGGGGCTGTGTTACAGGGCTGGGGCCTTTCAGGAAATTAAGGCAGCACAAAGGTCCTGTTTCAAACCCTGATTCTTGCATTCAAGTCAGAAGGAGTTCAGACATGCCACTCAGAGAAACAGGAAAGAATTTATTGGAAGGGAGGGGCAAGGGAGAGAGTGGCTCCTCTCAGAGAGGAGAGGGACAATGTGCCTCTCCTGCCCTCCAGTTTTATTGGGGGACCCAGAGAAATTTCCAGAGAGTCCCGCCTAGGTCCACCTCTTGACCTTTGACTGGCAGCATGTGACATCAGACTTTCAAGTCACACTGCCATGACAACTCTAGGTCACTTTGGCCATGCTGACCAGTTCTAATTGTATTCTTAACCATAAATTCTTACAGATTTTCTGGTTAGGAGGAATTACCCTTATCTTCCTGAATTCCAGGATTTGACGGTAACTTGGGTTTCTTTTATCAACATTATCTCAGGCCAGCATTTCTCCTGAGGGTAACAGGAAGTTTGCTGAGGAATGTGACAGATCCTGTCCACTTAGGCCAGGCAGGGCTGCAGATAAATTGCTTCTTGAAAAAGAGAGCATGTGGGGGTCGGCACAGTGGGCCCATTTCACAGAATGATTCCCTTAACCTCATGTTCCCACCACTCAAGTCTATCTGGCCCCACTTGAGTGGCCACTCAAGTCTGTCTGGCCACTCCAGAATAACACATGGAGAGAACTAGAAGCTGGAAGGGAACTGCAGCTGGAAGCTGCAGGTCTTAGGCAATCAACACAGGCCTTGAAGTCAGACCTGTGAAATGGGCCTCCTGGTCTCTCCCCAGCGGGTCTGGCAGTAAATTAAATTAGATAATATGTGTATCGAGAGCTTCCCAGGGTTCTAGCCTGTGGCAGACTCTCTGCAAGTGCAGCTGATGTTGTCACAGAGGTCCCACAGCACAAAGGAACAGAAAGGAAATACTAATTGGAGCTGGGAGAGGCAGAAAGGCGGTAGATGGAGCCAGGTGTTGACTGGGGGCCTCTCTAGGCAGAGAAAGTTGTATGTGGAGGGGAGAAGAAGCCCTAAATGACTAGAACTTCATATTTGTGCATGAAAATGTAGGGGAAAGCACAGAGCAAGGGTTAAGAGCACAAAATTGGGGCCAGATGGGGCCCTGACTTTCGTGTGAGTGGCTCAGGACTTTCGTTTCCTCATCTATCAAATAAGGAAAATGGGAGTAATGATGTAACACGCCTTCTTTATTGGGTTTTTGTGGAGGCGAGAAAGCCCCAGCACACAGTTAAGAACTCCACCTTGAATATAAAATCTACTCAGATTTTTCATATTCATCATTCATGGTTTGCCTCTGTTTGCAAATCATTTTGCAGATGCCCAGCTCAGGTCTCTGGGGGAATTCTGCTCTCAGTGCTCTCCTTTCACAGGGGGACCCAGAACCCTTTGTGCTTGTGGCCGAGCTAATGCCCTTCCAGGCCAACACACTGCCCCTGTCTCAGGCTTTCCAGCCTAAGTTGCCTGGTCTTGGCTGGGGCTGTCCAAACTATTTGGCATCTAAATAGTGACGTCACTGGTCATGGGGCCCGTGTGTGGCTCATGCCCTCCGAGGGTTTACACCCATTACTGAGATCACGTTCCCTCACATCCTGCGGACTGGAGGGAGGGCTTGCTTTTGTCTTGGGCTGCCTTCTCCTGCTTGAAAACAAATCTTTTTCATTTTTCTTTGAAGTGAATTTATTGTGCCATGGCATTGCAAAACGAAAATGATATTCAACTGTCAAAGTAAAGTCCGTGCTTCTACCCACGCCCCATCCACTCTCATTTCTGTGCCCCCATCATTCCCGGGAAAACCTTGGTGTTAGTTTCTTGTCCACCCTTGCAAAGTCTGTGTATACAAAATGCAGCCTCTGTGTTTTCCTTCTTTTTTTCTTTTTTTTTTTCTTTAAGGAGCACAATAAACATATTTTTTTTTTTTTAAGGATCACAATAAGCATTCCTTTTTAAAAGTATTCTCCTGGATTTCTGAAAGATCATTCCAAATCACACAGAGCACATCCTTGTTGATGAGCAGATCTTGGCAGAGTGTCCCCAACAGGTTAGCAGAGAGCCTTTGGTTGGGCAGTCTGAGGGAAAGAGTCAAGGAGGGAATGTCTGCTGGCAGCGAGGGACATCCAGCAGTCGTCTCCACCTGACAGATTCTGGGGAGCCATCCCCACACACAGGACTGCTGTATCCCAGGCAGGAGGGAGAAAGCTGTCCTTGGATCATGCCAGTCACAGCCTAGATGACCCCCGGATGGGCGATTCATACTGTCACAATGCTGTTCTCTGGAAAGGAGCCAGCCCAGCAGGAGGGAGAGTGGCAGAAGGTCTTGTGCTCCCCCAAAAGCCATGCCCATTCCACTCACCGCCCCCCTACCCCGTGAACCCCCATTACCAGCTGGTGTGAGCCCGTTCCTGCAGTCCCTGCATTGTAGGGACACATGCTCCGTCCCATTGTCTTACATTCCAGATCTCCCCTCGCCACCGTTCCCCTTGCTAAGCTGGTGGTAAGGAAGGCCTTTGTCACCCTGTTTTTCAGGAGTCGTGCAGCATTTGCAGAATGGCCAGCTGCTGGGGGACATCTACCTAAAGAAACACAAACTCCTGCCGAGCGACTGGTCCCCAGACCAGCTTTACTTAGAGACCACGGGGAGGAGCCGCACCCTACAGAGCGGGCTGGCCTTGCTCTATGGCTTCCTCCCAGATTTTGACTGGAAGAAGATCTATTTCCGGCACCAGCCAAGTGTGCTCTTCTGCTCTGGAAACTGCTATTGCCCCGTGAGAAACCAGTATCTGGAAAAGGAGCAGCGTCGCCAGTACCTCCTGCGGTTGAAGAACAGCCAGCTGGAGCAGACCTACGGGGAGATGGCCAAGATCGTGAATGTCCCCACCAAGCTGCTCCGGGCCGCCAACCCCATCGACTCCATGCTTTGTCACTTCTGCCACAACGTCAGCTTCCCCTGCACCAGCAGCGGCTGTTTCGACATGGAGCACTTCAAGGTGATCAAGATGCACCAGATCGAGGACGAGAAAGAGAGGCGCAAGAAGAGACTGTACCTGGGGTACTCGCTGCTGGGCGCCCACCCCATCCTCAATCAAACCATCGATCGGATGCAGCGCATCGCTGAGGGCAGGAAGGATGAGGTCTTTGCCCTCTACTCTGCCCACGACGTCACTCTATCACCAGTTCTCAGTGCCTTGGGCCTTTCGGAAGCCAGGTTCCCGAGGTTTGCCGCCAGGCTCATCTTTGAGCTCTGGCAAGACAGAGAAAAGCCCAGCGAACATTCTGTGCGGATTCTCTACAATGGAGTCGACGTGACATTCCACACCTTCTTCTGCCAGGACCACCACAAGCGTTCTTCCAAGCCCATGTGTCCTCTTGAGAACTTGGTCCGCTTTGTCAAAAGGGACATGTTTGTGACCCTGGACAGCAGTAGTACTAATTATCACGATGCCTGTCACAGGGAAGGAGTCTAAAGATACATGGTACAGCCTACATTGGTACTGAGGGCTGGCAGGGTTCTCTTCTACTTCTGTCTGTTGGTAAAGGTACAAGAATATTGATTTTTAAAGGTGAAAACTTGCGTTTGGGAGCCACAGAGGCGGTCCAGGCTGAACACTAAGCACATGTTATAAGTTGGTACGTGAGTTACTCAGTACACAGGAAGAAGGAGGTACTGTTTCATAGCCAGACCACTCAGAATGCCAGGTTAATAGTCACTATCCAAAGTTGCCAATTAAAGTTTGTATTCCTTTGGCCTGCCATAGAACCAGCAAACCTTAGCCAAATTTTCTTAATCTTGGACACTTTTACCTCGTCCTTGTCCAAAGAAAAATTTCCAGAAGGGATTTGTCTAAAACAGGGGATGGCCAATGTTTTTCCATAAAAAGGCAGAGAGAGAGGCAGAGAGTAAATATTTTACACCATGCAGAACAAAAGGCAACACACCATCTCTGTCACTTCTCAACTCTGCCCTAGCAATGCAGAGCAACCAGAGACAACACATAAAGAAGTAAAGTGTGGCTGTGGGCACAGGCCCTACAAAACAGGCAGTGGCTCATGGTGGCTCACAGGGTATAGTGTGCTGACCCCTGATTTAAAATCAGGCTGTACTATAATTGCACTCTCAGCACTTTGAGAACCAGCTGAATACCAAGAATTATTCGAAGGTTCCGCCAGTAACTTCTGCTAGAAACACAGAATCTGGTCTGACACTATAACAAAACATCAAATCCGAACAAACCATAGAGAAATGACTAGAATAATACTTGATGTTCATGATGATTGTGGTACAAGATAGTTTTAAGTATGTTTGAAATATCTGTCTGCTGTAGTCTATTTGCTGTGTATGCTGAAATTTTTGTATTCCATTTAGTATTTTTATAGTCTGGGAAAATATTTTCTAAGACCAGTTTTAGACACGCTCTTATTCCTATAGTAATATTCAATTTTCTGTACCTGCTTGGTGGTTGGAAGAAGGCCAGAAGCTGAATTCAGGCACTTTTTTCCAAAAGACTAATGACGGCTCATTCCTTTTGACAAGTCCTAGAATTGGATCAATTTTTAAACCATTTTCATCAGTTTCAAATGGCAAATTCCGATTGATTTTTAAATACGTTTTTAGAACTTTGTTACTAGATAATTAATCTTTCTAAGGTATTTTATATATTAGAAGCAATTATTATTAAATCTGTGATTTTGAAATAATGGTGCTAGTTCTCTTCACAGAAATGTAAAGTCCAAGTGAGATCTCCAGTGTCGGTAGAATTCCAGCCCCTTCTTGATTTTGTCCAATGTTGCATTTGAACACATCTGTTTCTATAAATAAATTTTTGAAGAATACTTTTCCTGTGCAACTAGTGTGTACCCATAAGTCGCTCAAGTTCTTTCCAAGTGAGAAACAATATTTTTAAAATGTATCTTACCTGCTGTGTTTAGTGCTGAGAATCATATCCTCTCTGGAGCATTTAAAGTCTCTTCAGATTTCTTGCACCCACTTGCAGTATATCTGAATTAGAACTGCTAAAAAACAGCTTGAAGATTTAACGATAAAAGCAAATTAGAAGACTTTTTTAAAAAAGCAATTCTTGTGAGGCATGGTTGTACTTGCCTACAATCCCGATGACTCAGGAGGCTAAGGTAGGAGACTGCAAATTCAAAGCCAGCCTCAGCAAGTTTATGAGGCCCTAAGCAACTGAATGAGACCCTGTCGCAAAATGAAAAATAAAAAAGGCTGGGGATGTGGTTCACTAGTTAAGTGCCCCTGGGTTCAATCCCTGGTACAAAAAAAAAAAAAAATCAATTCTTAACATCTGTCAGTAAAAGTATATGTTTTGGCTATGACAATATCAAAAATGAAGGTAATGTTTTATCTCCTGTGACTGCATTAAAATATGCTCCCCAATCTTGGTTGTGAGCCACATCATTCCATGGCAAAGACAGAAAACACTGACCTGAGGTTGAGGGGCATAATCTTCAATTTTGAGGCCATAGTCTAATGGCTTAATTCATGACAACTCTGGGTATGTACATGTATATATTTACCTTTCTTGGTTTTATGATTGAAATCAATACATGCATACTGGAAAATAATCAAATAATACTGAAAAGCAACTGCAGAAGTGACATTTTCACTTGTCAGAGGGGAAAGAACAAGGCTCAGACTCCCACTGTGCTCTTTCAACACACTATGGAAACCAGGCGTGTGCAGGTTTTCCCCACACACCAAGGAAGCAGTCAGTTCTGCCGCTGGGTGTTCAATCCTGTCCTCAAACTTATTACCTGTCAGATGTCAGATCCCATGGGTTGAGGGTTTAGTCCCCAGGACCACCCCACACACACTGCAGATGCCCATGGCAAACCTCAGGAGGTTTTACCTGTGCTTCTGACTGACCCACTATAAATTGGGGCTCTCACCATCCCCCTTCTTGGGTTCAGTTAATTAACATGCTCAAGTGATTCACAGAATCCAGGGAAGCGTTTAGTGATTTATTATTAAGGACATTACAAAGGCTACAGATGAAGAGGATGAGGTAAGGGGGAAGGGGCCAGGAACTTCTGTGCCCTGTCCTGGCCTGCCACCTTCAGGAACCTCCATGTGTTCAGCTATCTGAAAGTTCCCCAACCTTCCCTTCCTTTGAATTTGATGGAAACTTCTTTGCATAGGCAAAGTGATTAAGTCACTGGGCACCAGTCATCAATTAACATCCAGTTCATCTTCCCTTCCTGGAGGTTGGGGAGTGGAGCTAAAAGTCCCAACCCTCTAATCATGCCTCGGGCTTTCTGCGGAAGCCATCTAGGGGCTGCCCACCATCAGCTGTCTCACTGAAGTAGGCAAAAAAGAAACTAATGCTTTGAATATTCCAAGGGCTTTAGGAGAAAATGGGGACAAAGACCAAATATGTATTTCACAGAATTACATTCTCTAGTTCAACCTCCAGATATAACACTATGAATCGTTTGACAAATATTTTCCTGGAAATTTCTATATAAAAGCAGAAATATATATATATATATAAGTTAAAAATAGGAACAAAACCATTTTGTAGTCTTATATGACTTGCTTCTGTTAAAATACATATATTTTTTTCATTACCTGGTTTCCTTTAACAGTATGTCTTAGAAGTCTTTCCCATTGACTTGCTCCCCTTAACAGTGTATTAGAGGTATTTCTATGTTGAAGTAGCCACGATATAAATGAAACATTTTTAAGTCGCATTAAAAATGCATGAAATTGAAATTTAAAACCATTGTATTAAAACAGGACCATAAGGCTTTGCATAGAATGAAGCAGGGGCCAGAAGCCTTACTGATTTTCTAGCCCAACTGAGCAGTTTTCAGTGGAGCTACAGGTACCAATCGACTCGAGTATTCTTTCTCTAAATTCCCTTTGAATAGGACTGAAGAACTTAATTATAGGCTATCAATAATTAATAGCCTTTCAAATAGACAGTTAAGCTGACATGGGGGTCTTCGTGGGTGTGGCAGAATTAGACTTTCTGGAAGATGTAGGCGATTCCTTTTCCTGGAACTCTAAGGCTGATGGAGGGGGAGCAGGGCAGCACAGTTGTGTTTCTCCGGCTCTTCAGGAAGCCTCTGACCAGCCAGCAGTGCTGACCAGGCTGGGTGCCCTAGAGAGTTAAAACACAACCACAAATAGACAGCAGAAACAGCTGGGCTCTACTTGGAAGTCCTGGCTTTACTAGCATAGAGGCCAGCACAGAGGCTGGCCTGGACACCAGCTCCCTCCCAATGCTCAAGGCCACTGAACTGAATGTTTGGATTGTGTTGGTGGCTCTCAGGAGCCAGCTCAGATGAGTAATAAGAGCTTCTGCTTAAGAGGAACCAGCTGAATTCATCAGCATGGCTGGTCAGGCCTTCCTGGATTCTGACACCCAACTGCCAGCTAAGACTGGCCTCCATGAGGAAGAGGTGTGGCTGGGAAAAGCGCTTTACTTACACTATTCCATTTAATCTTTGCAGTAGACCTTCCAGATAGAATATTTGCTGGTGCATATCAATGAACACTAAAACACAATGAGGTGATGGCAGTAGTGGATTTAAGTCTAAGTGGTTAGAATTATTCCAATTCTGCATGAAGCCACCTGTGGCTTGCTGATTTTGTTAAGAACTACATAATGTAAAAACTTACCTTGGCAGTGGTGTTATATTCTTCTCAACCACTAGGGGGCAGAATCAAAGACCGGTTTTGTTTTCAGGGCCCTTTTGCCTCTGCAAAGGCCGTTTGGGGATGTGTTGTAATAAATAGGTTGGCCAGCTGTCCCCATTTGCCCCACTGAGGAGTTTGCACAAATGCAAGGCTTTCAGTGCTAACACCTGAAAAAGTCCAAAGCAATCTAGAACAAGCTGACGACTCTAGTGTTATATGTTGAGACAAGAGTCAGGTACTACTGTAGGGCTGGGATTGTGGCTCAATGGCACAGCACTTGCCTAGCATGTACTAGGCACTGGGTTTGATCCTCAGCATCACATAAAAATAAACAAAATAAAGGTGTGCTGTCCATCTACAACTACCCAAAAAAAAATTTTTTTTTTAAGAGGTACTACTATGATTTCCACAGTATAGAAAAGGGAAGCATGATGGAGTCTCTAGTCTGAGGTGCCACATAGGCAGCAGAGGTGAGGACTCAAGCTGTGTCCTCTTAACTTGAAGGATCATATTCCTAAGCAGGATGTATGATATGTCTCTCTGAACCATTAGGGTCTGTTTGGTTACATGCAACAGAGACACCTAAATACAGTGGCTTAAACAAATAAAGCCTTTCATTTCCTCCCATGTCTCCATGACACCATCAGAAACCCAAATTTCCCAAGGACATCTCACAGCTCAGAATGGGGGTCCCTTGGCAAAGAAGTCTTGCGAAGTATTAACACTACTTATTAATGCTGTTCCAAATTAAATCAGCTCCACTTACTAAGGAAGAAAGGGAAAGCAAGTTCTGGGTAGAGAATTGGCAGTGAATGCCTCTCTTAAAAGCCACCCAGGACAGCTGGAGGTGTGGTAGATGCTGTCCCACCCAGACCCCCACTTCAGGACTTCTCGCCTCAGTTGCTGGCAGTGTGCAGCTGCCAGCCTTTCAGGAAATTGCCCTGGTGAAGAGAGCCATGGGCGGAAGGAGGCGTGCAGGGATTTAAAGGCCTGGAGACAACCTGAAGCCCTCCCAGCATCAGAGTTCTCTGGGGTGGGCTGAGGCTTCTGCCTCACGGTGCTTCCTCTACAGTGGTGGCTCCGAGCACTCCTGGTAAACTTCCTGCACACACACCTGGGAACTGACCTGCACGGAGGGTAAGCAAATCCTAGGAGACACACCTCTGCTCGCCTGGCAGGAAACTGGAGTATGGCAGGGAAAGGGCTAATGTACCTATTGATGACAAATTCCTCCTTTTCTCACTGCCTTTAAGAGGTCTACCATTTTATTGTCTAAGCTAAGTACAGCCGACCTCTACAGCCACAGATTCTGCCAACCTCAGCTTCCATCAGCTGTGGATCAAAACTATTGGGGGGAAAATGTCCTGAACATGTGTAGGATTTTTCTTGTCACTGTTCCTTAAACAATGCAGTATAACAACTGCTCACATTGTAGTAGATACTATAAATGATCCAGAGATAACTTACAGTGTGTTGGGGGATATGCATATTTTATATGCAAATGCTACACCATTTTATATGAGAGACTCAAGTACCTGCAGATTTCGTATCTGGGGGTGGAGGAGGTCCAATCCCCTGTGGATACTGAGAGGTGACCATCTGCACATGTGAAGCAGTAGGAGATATTTTGTTCTGGCCAGTTCTCAGCTAACGACAGAGGCTTTTATACCAAGACTTACCAATAATTGAACACACACCATGGACTGGACACTGGGCTAAGCCTTCAACTGATACAGCTTGCATCTCACAGTATGAGTGACCATTGGAAGTAGGCCTTTATTATCCTCATCTTACAACTGGAAACTGAGGCCCAGAGGTAGATGGGTACCCAGGATCACATAGTCAGTAGGAATTGGAAGACCCAGGGCCAGAACCCGATCATCCCAGACTATCAAGCTCTCCCAGGCCCCTCTAGCACACACTTCCTGTCTCCCATGACTCCATGGCCCCTGCCCCACAAGTGAATAAATGAAAATTGACACTGAGGCTACAGTCAAGGGTCCATTCCACTCTAGAGAAAGGTCCCTTTCCTGCAGCTTTTGTTATGGATGTTCATATTTATGGCTCCTCCATTACTTTTCCCACTTTTCCCCCTCTAATACAACATTTCCAAGAAAGTAGGATCATCTTAACGATGGATTATCTTAATCTGGGCTCCCCTAAAAGTAGAGTC